GGTTTTTTTTAATATTATCTAATGAAAATTGTGCATTTATTACAACCTAAGCACTTCACTACCTGATCTGGAATTTGAAAAGACATAGTGGTACCTGTTGGACTTTCCTCTTCATTATCATCATCATCATCATCAACAACAACAACCATGGGCTCAACGCTGTTGTCCAATGCCTCCACTTCCCTCTTGCTGGACCTTATTCTACTATGCGCAGCTACTAGAGATTGTTGCATTTGTAATCGGTTGTTCACACTGGTGGGTATCAGCAGTCATTTCTGTATCCCCCAGATGTAATTATGGAGCAGTGACTACAGCCTTAATACTGCCATTTGTGCCTTCATATTTTCAGGATGGGTAGGAATCCCTTTTGAAACCTACACATTTGTATCTCTGCAAACCTCTAATCTTCTCCATCCATGTGAAGATTTTTTCCATTCATGTGCAGAATAATTTTCATATGCACCAAGGCATGTAGGAATGTGCACCATCAATAGAAATAAAACCTAGCTATGGGTGTTTTGCTGATCAGCAGGCTGGCATTTGACTGTCCCCTTAGCAGCCACACAAGTTCATAGCTTACAGAGAGTACTGCTGCTGTTTCTATCACTTGTCTGCAGCACTGTGCATTCTGAAATCAGAATAGGCTGCTGGATCACAAAGTATCAGTTCCATAACTGACAGGCTCATGCAGTAAAATGAATGCTATGTTAGACCAACATGTCAGGTCCTATTTTATGACAGAAAATCTTACTTCAGTCATAGGACAGAGTTTGAGAGAGATTTAAATTGCCCTGCAATTAATGTCCTTTAACTCATAAATCCTTGGCATATAGACTACCAGCAAAATGGATGTTAAGAGGGTGTCTGTACATGCTTGCACTCACAGTACTGCAGCCTTGTATGCAAATATTTGATAGCACCAAAAATGTTTGAGAGGAAGGAGATCTATTACACCATACCTCCTGGGGACCAGTGGAGGATGTTCCCTTCAGAATATTTTTGCTGCCATGTCCAGACCAGTTTTAAACTGTCGAAGCAACTAGCCTTCCCCTATGATTAGACAGCTTAACAAAGATCACTATCAGGAAGATGTTCATAATATACAGCCTACATTTACCCTGAGTCACAAAGCACTCCTTCTCAATGGGACTCTGAGCATGTCTGAACATTCAGGATAGATGTTTCAAAACTGAATAAGGGCACTGAATTGAATGCCAAAGGCTTAAGCATCTTTGTAAATCTCTGTCTCAGATCACTCTTCTCCTCTCCTTAATTATATTACAAATAGAAAAATGCCTATAATAAGTACTGATAGAAATGTAGCCGTGTTAGTCTGGTGTAGCTGAAACAAAAAACAGGACTATGTAGCACTTTAAAGACTAACAAGATGGTTTATTAGGCGATGAGCTTTCGTGGGCCAGACCCACTTCCTCAGATCAAA